TTGCTGCTTTTAAGAGTCTGTCTTTATCTTTAACCTTTGTCATTTTAATTATGATGTGTCTTGGAGGAGGCCTCTTTGCATCCATCTTGTTTGGGACTCTGTGCTTCCTGGACTTGCATGTTTGTCTCCTTCACCAAATTAGGGAAGTTTTCTTTCACTATTTTTTTTTTCAGATAGATTTCCAATTTTTTGCTCTTTCTGTTCTCCTTCTGGCATCCTTATGATGTCAATGTTGAACCTCTTCAAGTTGTCCCAGAGGCTGCTTATACTACCCTCAGTTTTTTGGATTCTCTTTTTCATTTTGTTATTCTGTGTGTTTTTTGCTTATGTTCCAAATCATTCATCTGATTCTTGGATTTATCCAGTCTACTGTTTCCCTGTAAGTTGTTCTTTATTTCAATTAGTGTATCCTTTGTTTCTGACTGGATCTTTTTCATGCCGCTGAGGTCCTCACTAAGTTCCTTGAGCATCCTTATAAACAGTGTTTTGAATTCTGCATCTGATACACTGCTTATCTCTATTTAGCTTAGCCCTTTTTCTGGAGTTTTGATCTGTTCTTTAATTTGGTTCATATTTTTCTCCTTGTTTTGGCAGCCTCCCTGTGTTTGTTTCTACGCATTAGGTAGAGCTGATTGGGGTCCCTGGATTTTCATCAAGGGGCTGCAAACAGGGGGTGAAGGAGAAAAGTGATGAGGGTGCAGCAAAGACTGGGAAAGGACTGTTCCTCTTGGATGAATTACGTGTTGCTGTTACCTGTGGGGAAGCCGAACCCTCATGGCTCTGGCAGGAACCCCTGTTAGGTAAGATGAGTCTTCACAGGGGACAGTCTGAGCTCAGCTCCTTTCCCCTGGTGCTCAGAAGGTGCTCAGAAGGTGCTCAGGGGACCAGAACCACAGGGGCAGCCACCCCCTTGCCCCAGTGCCCACTCCAATCCAGAGGGCTTTGTGTCCCAGCCACACCCACCTGCTCTCCCTCCTTCTTTGGTCTTTGCTCGGCTGCTCCTGTTCCAGGTCTCTGTTCAGTATCACCTCCCCGATCACCATCACAAAGATATCCCCAGTCACTCTAAATGTATCTCTTTGTTGCATTTTCATCTTCAACTTTACCATGACCTACTTTCTTACTGTTTGTGATTGGTCTTTCTCCTTCCACCAGAATGCAAGCTCCACGGAGGCAGCAATTTTGCCTGCCTTGCTCCACCCTGCATTCCCAGGGTCTACAATAGCACGTGGCAGGTGCTCCATGAATGTTGGCTGAATAAATGTGTGAATGCGGAGGTCAGGACTACGGAAGACTATCGTGGGAACTGCTGACTAGTATCCTGATGGCCAGCCCTGGGGGTTCAGGAGTGACTTCCCAGCACATAGTGACAACACTCCCTCTCTGCAGTCTGCAGTGCTTCCACCCAGAGCTATGCGTCCCTGGATGTCACCTTGTAAGACAGAGCTCTCTCTTAATCCTCTTCCCTCCATAACCTTGGCTGTTAGGACCAAGGGTGGGCACCCAACCCAAGATGGGTGAATGAAAAGTGCTGTTTTGGGGAAATAGAGAGGGGGAAGAAAGGGGAAAAAAAGACAGAAATGAGAATATGGAGAGAGAGATGGATAGATGTGAAGAGATGGTTACGAGAGAGAGATGAAGAAAGGAGAGAGCATGGTGAGAGAGAAAATGAACATTATCTGGCTTCCCAAAAGTTTCCAGTTGCCAGCCTCAGTCCTTCCTGGAACCTAGATATATTCCTGCCCTTGAATTCCAAGAAAATTTCCTCTACCCTTACAAAAACCCCGAGTGATTTCCATTTGGTATCTATTACCCATTATTAAAATAAGCTACAGGGGGCGGCACTGGGCATGGGTGCCGCCCCGCACTCCCCAATGCCATTCCCAAGGCCCACGGCTCCCGGGGCTCCTGAGGCTTCCACAGCCCTCCCAGGTCAGGGTGCACACGCAGCAGAAGCCTCAGCCCTGTGCCAGGTAGGGCTGAGAATTACTCTTGCAGTCCCTGGAGGTGGGCATAACTTGCAGAGTCACCCTTGTCACCTGCAGAGGACAGTGCCTCCTGTGTACACCACTTCAGCTCTGCCCTAACTGGTCTCCGTGTCTGGCTGCAGCCCAGGCTACAGTTTCTGCACGACCGATTTTGGTGGCGGTCACGCCACCCTGCCTGCCTCTGCCAGCCTTGAAACCTGTCCCTGGCAAAGGCCCTATGTGGCCCCATCACTGTCTGAGGCCTCCCAGCCCCAGCCCTCCCATCTCTGCTCTCCACCTTCTCACGTTTGCCAGGGGCTGGCATTTCCACCCTGAGCTGTTGAGCTGTTGAGCGCTGAGATGCTGAGTGACACCATCAATGCTACTTCGCAATGTCTCAGTGGCCTGTTGTCTCTCCTCCCTCCGGAGGTTCAGTCAGTGTTACTGGACTCATTATCCCTTTCCCCACCTCTCAACTCTGCTTTCCTTGGATTTGCTCCATTCTGGGGCAGGTTCTGTTACAGTGATGGCAAGACAGCAGCTAGGACTCCACAGTGGCATCTCACAGCCCCAAGTCCAGAGGAAAGGGGTGATGTTTCCTAACGGTTCCCACAAAATTCCTGGGCCTGGCCTGGGTCCCGTCCCCATCCTGAGCCAGTGCTTGAATGTGCCCACTGGACACAGCCCCGGGGACACAGAGCCCGTCCTGGAGCCGAGGGTGCAGTCAGGTCCACCCAGAGCACACGGACAGGGAGAAGGCGGGGGGGGGGTCCTCAAGGAAAAGGGGTTCTTTGATCAGAAGAGGAGGGAAGGAATGCTGCATAAGTAAAATCATGAGTTTTCACCTCAAAACTTTTCATGTTAGGAAAACCAGGAAAAATCAGGTTCCAATCTGAAAGAATCAAACCCTTGTAGTTACAAAGTGTAGTTTTATCAGAATACATTTAAAAACACATTTGTGGAAAAATCCCACAGAACATGACTCCTAAAATTAAAAAAAAATTCCATTAGCTTGAAGGATTTTTTTAAAGGGCTTTCAGTTAATCAATTTTACTGCCTATTGTGCACTGCACACCTACTGGTTTTGAAAATTATGGTTATATTGAAACGGCTGATTAGGTGGGGGAAGAAATAGCAAAAGCAAAACAACTGCAAGCAAATTAGCCCAAAGCTCACAGGAAAAGCCATTTGGGGATGTAAGAGCATGAGGGATAGATACTGAATCAGCGCCAGCAGCAGGAAAACAAAAAGACTTTCCAGAACATTCTTAGGCCTTGTTTTAGTTTTACATTCTTAATTGGGCTGAATAATAACCCAGGCACAGCTGGGTTATTATTCCGTCTTTTAGACTTTTAGAAAGTCTTTCAGAGCCAGCGCAGCTGTGTGACCCTCGCGTTGACTGGCCAGCGAGGGGCTGGCCGGTGTGACACACAGCTGTGTTTCTTTCTGAGTGGCCCGGTCTGCGGAGAAGCAGGTTTGGGAGATTTGCTGAGGGGTGCAGGTATGTGCAGCTTTTTTTTTTCTAGCAAGGAGGCAGGGAAAGAAAAAGAAGAGTATAACTGGAACAGGGAGAGCCTTCCTCCTTCAAGCGGATGAAGAAGTGATGGAAGAGAGGCTCTCCCAGGGGCTTGAGCAGAGTTCCACATCTGCACCCAGGCCAGACGGCCCTGGTGTCTGCCTGAGAAGCACTGAGAGGCAGACGGACACCGATTTTAAAGGTACCTTGTGAAGAATTAGCCAGAGAATGTGTATGCTCAAGTTCACAGAACAGGGAAATGGCAAAATAATTATATTCACTTTTTAAAAATCCATCCATAATCATGCAAAAATTTTTGGTAAGACACAGCTGGTAAATTTCAATATTTACTAATGTCAGTTACAGTGATCCCTCACCTATCATGGGAGTTACATTCCAGAGACCCCTGCGATAGGTGAAAATCTGCAAGTAGTGGCATTATATTTATTATTTATACACATTTTAAGGCTTTATAAACCCTTCCCACACTCCTATAAACCTTTCCTACTCTCTTATTAACCTTTCCCACACTCTTATAAACACTTCATATGCTCTTCAACACTTTCTACACTCTTAAACCTACATAATTTTAACAACACATAAAATTCTATATGGGTACTCACCAGTGAAGTAGGTTTTTTAAAACCCATGATACAGTGAAGCCGCAATAAGTGAACCACGATATAGCAAGGGATGACTGTACTCTCTCCTGCTAACGAGTTTTATAACTATAAATCACATTTATGATCAGATATTTTGAAGCAGAGGCATGGATACATGGAACAGACTGACAGCTGTGGGTGGGGGGAGGGGATGCTGGATAAACGAAGGTGAAGGGAGTGGCCAAAGAACATATCTGCATACCCACAGACACAGCCGACAGTGCAGTGATGGCCAGAGGAAAGCGGGGTGCTGGCTGGGTGGAGGTGGGCAAAGGGGGGGGACATCTGTAATAGTGTCAACAATAAAGAAAAAGTAAACAGAAGCTCTGTATGGAATCAGAAAGATCCAGTTTACATCTGTATTTGGTCAGGTTGTGTGACATCCCCCACTTAATCTTGGTTGTTTACGACAGTCGACACATTTTTTGCCCTTGGGTTGTGGGTTGGTGTGCTTCTGTGTCTTCTCGTTCTAGGACCTTGGTAACTCCCGTGACATGTGCCAACAGCTCCAGGGGGTGAGGACAAACATGTGATGCTTGTAAAGCCATCACTTGGAACTGTCACCCTTCCCATATTCTATTGACCCAAGTCACTGGTGTGTAAGACCCTTGCAGGAGTGTGCACAGAACGGAAAAACTCTCTACATCGGTACGCTAGCTCTACCACTTATTCGCCTCATGATGTTAGACATCTAAGTTAGTTCAGTCTCAGTTTTGTTTTTCATCCACCTGGGTAAATACTACTGTTTACCTTACAGGGTGAGGATTAAATTCGATGATGCAAGTATAGTGCTTGGTGCAGCACCCTGGACAGAGCAGGTGTTTGATGCAGGAAAGCTAACAGGGCATTACTAACCTGAGGTATCATGTTATAAGGAAGGCATCTGCTTATCAGGAGGAGAATAAGTGGCACTGAAAAGAAGAGAGGACACAGTGATTGACAGGTTAGATGGGCACAGTCCAGGGCAGCAGGAGGGGTGGTCTGGCAGGCAGGTTAAGGGTTTAAGGCGGCAGGAAGGCCAGGGCCCCATTGGACCCAAGGCTTACGAACACTGGGTGGTGAAGAGACACCTCTGCCCGTCTCTGAAAGCTGGGACGGCAGTTGGCCCCAGGGTGGCAGGGGCTTTCTTTGTCTTCCTGCCCCCAGGGCAATAGTTACTTACCTCCTCCAGGTAAGGCAGGCTTGGCCCCTTGAGACTGAACCTGCCAGGTCTCCTTTGCCTCCTTCTGCCCCACTGTCTGTTCCCTGCTGTCACCCGTATCCTGTCCTGTATTCCCCTCCCCTGAACGACCCCCTATCCAAACCATCTCCAACTCTCCCCTGGTGCTCTCCACCTGCTGTCCACTATGTCTTTGACTCTATTGAAACCTCCTTCCACATCCCTGCCTTAGTGAATCCTGGTTCTCCCTTGAAGACTCAACATTCTGCAGCCCCCACCAGAAAGCTGTTCCATCCCTCGTGTCCCATGCATCTCAGGTGGGGTGGTAGCATTGTCTCTTTTGCTCCTCAATGGCTCTGCTTCTGCACTTTCTTGTAAAACCACCCACCTACCCTATGCCTGTCTTCCCTGAAACCACCAGGTGACATCCTTGGCCACTGTCTTCATTGCTGAAGACCAAGGTCCCCGCTGCTCCTGGTTTTCCCTTTCTCACCAAGCCCTGCTGTTGCTCCACACTGATCACCGGGTCAGGGCAGTGAGCGTCTCACCTTGGTGCCAACTCATCCCACCGTGAGACCACAGCCAGGCATCATGGCAACTGACTGACTGTGGGGTGAGGAGGGGGTTTCAGGTCTCTGTGAAGGCTGTAGAGATGGGAGTCTAACTCCGAGTATCCACTGCAGAATTATATGAAAGGCCTATGAGAGGGAGTTATTTTGAGAGAATCTTTTGTGCGTGCAGCAGAGATTTTTGCCACTTTATTAAATGACTTCAGTAGGTCTGGAAAACAAAACCATGTACCACACTATGCTGGAGACACAGTGGGGACAGTTGCCCTTTTCGGCATAGATTGAAGTGGAACAATCGCAGCATGAAACGGCAAGAAATAAAGTGTAGTCTGCTTGTTGAAGCCAGCACAAGGGCGCGCATGGGATGCTTTCTTCTTCGGAGCAGGAAGTATGTGCGGCTGCGCTGGCCTCTGCCTTGTGCTGAGCATGGCAGGGGCTGGAGTCGCATGCAGAAGGTCAACGAGGTGCCTGTGTGCCCGCTGCTCATTCCACAGGAGCCATCAGTGGAACGATGTTCCCCCCAAGGCTCGAACCAGTTCCCCACAGGTGAGTACGGCACCCTCGTACTGCAAAAGGCTGTTTTCAGAACAGATTCAAGACAAAGCAGGTGGTTCTGACGCCCTTCTGGAGGCCGCAGCCTCCCGGGTCCTCTGTCCTCATTTCCTGCGGCCTCACCATCTGGCATGTTGTCCATTCACAAAGTCACCAAATCACCTCAAACTGTTAACTGTCCTAGTGCCCCCGGGACCTCGAAGCTCAGCTGCATTTCTCTCCTCGGGGACGATGCAGACGTTTCCGAAAAGTGCCCCCAGAGAGGAGAGCCTCTGTGATGTCATGGATGTTGTCAGTGAGGGGGGGGGAGTTTAAACATGAAAATCTGCTGAAATTATGCAACGATTATCGGGGAAGGGCCCCAGTCTGTGTGTCAGGAAAGGGACTTTCCTCATGCTGAGCGTATGGGAAGCCAGGCCTCCTGCCTTCCTGCCCTCCATCTCTCTCCTTCAGCCAGTACTGAGCCCCCACTCATTGCTGGGACACATGCAAGGGCCCAGGGAATCAGAGATGAAGGAGACACAATCCCTGTTCTCAGGGACTCAAAGTCCATTCAGAGAGCAAACACAAAACTACAAAGCAGCCTTATGGGAGCTACCACAAAGGTGTACGTACAGACAGGGGGCTATGCTTGGGCTGAATCTGGAAGAAGTACAGTTGGCCCCCCTTTCTCCATACTTTTGCTTTCTATGGTTTCAGTTACCTGTGGTTGACTGGGGCTTGGAAATATCAATTGGAAAATTCCAGAAACAAACAATTCCCCAGTTTTAAGCTGCTCACTGCTCTGAACAGCATGATGAAATCTCACACTGTCCTACCCTGTGCAGCTGGGGACATGAGCCACCCCTCTGTCCAGAGTATCCACGCTGTAGACGCTCCCCTCCCTCAGTCACTTAGTAGCCAACTTGATTGTCAGATTGACTGTCACTGGTATCATGGCGCTTGAGTTCAAGCGACCAGCCCATGTTACCTAATATTGGCCACACAGTGACGCTGGCAATTTGGATGTGCCAGAGAGAAGGCGCAGGGCACTTCTTTTAAGTGAAAAGATGAGTTCAGCACAATAAGATATTTTGAGGGAGAGACCACATTCACGTAACTTTTATTACAGCACATTGTTATAATTATTCTAATTTATTAGTTACTGTAGTTAATTTCTTACTGTGCCTGTAAATTAACCCTTATCATAATTATGCACATGTAGGAAAAAACGATGTGTACAGAGGGCCACTGTGGACACTGATTTTCCCCTCTGCTTCTCTCTGCCTGTGCATACCTGTGTGTTAAACATAACATCAGTTACTGAAGTTTACCCAGCACCCGTGAAGTGCCAGACACGGTGCTGAATCCATTGCCTTGTGTTCTCATTCAGGTTCAGCGGGGCCCACCACTGTGCCGTTTCACAGGTGAGGGAGCTGAGGCCGAGAGAAGTTCAGACACTTGCTTGAGGACACACAGCTCAGAAGTGGGGAAGCCAAATGTGAGTCCAGTGGTCTGACTCCGGAGCCCATGCTTTTAAATACCACAGTGGAAAGATCACATTTTTGGCCATGTGTTACTGGAAGGTAGCCTAGGGCCCCTGCAAAATCCCAGCAGGGGAGGACCCTCCTGGAAGCTTCTTGGCAAAGCAAGCCAACCTCCCTTCTGTCCCTAGGCACTGACCTCTAGGGCCTAATAATAATTCTGCTCTGGAAAATCATAAACTCCACAGAACATCAAAGGCAAAGCCAGCACCACCCGCTAAGCCCTCTGGCCTGGCCCCTCCTGCGGCGTGGCCCTCTGGGGAGACAGCCTGCGTGAGACACAGAACACCCCTGGCTCTGCCACCGCGGGGAAGCACGCACGAGGGCCTCAGCTCTGGAAATTGGGCAATTTCTCACTTAAAACCATCTGAAAACAAACTGCAGCGCTTTCAAAATTATACATTCTCGGAACATTTCTACTCTCTGGAATAGGATCAGACGGTAATGATTTAATTGACGGTTAAGTGTGTAGATAAAATGAATGCGCTGAATCCTCTCCGTAATTATCTCTCCAAGGAGCCCTGGCAGCTGTAATTACTGTCTGAGGCCAAAATTACAAACTGGCTATAGCTTTAAGCAACATGTGTTGCCGCCCCTGCTGGATCTCTGAGTAAAAGTCGGCCACTCCCAGCACAGGGGCCACTAGGACTGTCAGAGAGAGCAAGCGCTTGCAGAGATCTGCCCCCCAAACCTTGGGAGTGTGTTCTGGTTGCTCTGCACCCCTACCAGCACCCTCACTGCACGCTGCTCTCTCCCCCAGAGCCTACACCCTGTTGGTGGCCAATACACCAAATTAAGTTATAAATCCGCTTTGGGCTATAATGAACTGGAATGGCTATCTCTACCAAATGAGTCCAATTGCAACTGAATTCCTTACAAAGCTAAGCTCCTGCCTAAATAACTTGCAAAATTCATGTTCATTCAGGAATCACCACAGAATTATGAAGTGCCTCCTGCGTGAAGGACTGGGTACCCTCTGGTGAACAGAGCAGACAGGGCTCCTGCAACACTGGACTGTGGCTCTTGAATTATCCTCGACTGCAACCTGACAAAGGTCCTGGCCAGCCCAGTCTCACACATCTGGATCTGCATCTGGAGAGGAGTTAGTTGGATAGAAGAGTGTCAGGATGGGGTGGGCATGCTACAGGGGAGGGAAGGGCACATGAGCTGCTGATTTCAGCAAAGCCTGTTGGAGACCATGGTTTGGCCCTCAGGCTGTCTGCTTTGCAGCCTCTATCATGCATTTAGCACTTCCCAAGATGCCTACTGTGTGCGTAGATGTGGTTCATTCCTTGTGCCCCCAAATCATGGATCTCATGCCCAGTCCTTGCTGTGCAGGGCTCTCGGTGGGTATAACCAAGACAGAACACAGCCCCAGGTAACACTGTAATTGTTACCAACCAATCAGTCTAATTGTTCACTTTTGTGTAACCCCTTAACTAACTGTAAGTGCCATGGGGGACAGAGCTCCATTTCCCTAGTCTATGTCCAGTGCCTGGTAGAATGCCTGACACCTGCCCAGAAACATCTGATTTATAATTAAAGAACCACACAATGCTAGGGAGCAGGCAGATGTCACTGGCACACTCCACCCTAACAGGGAAGGAAGGGGCGCTCGATTCCAAGGATGTTGTCAGGTTGAAGGGGCTCAGAGGCCAAGTCTGCAATGACGAGCAAATCTAGGCTTCCACAGGGGCTCACTGGAAGTCCTTCATTCCCGTTCATTCATACTCTCTCCCCACCGCCTCCCTCTTCACTTTTCCTCACTGGACTATGCTACTGGCAGGTAAGCACAATGTATTTTTATTGCTGGATCCCCAGTGTCTCGACATTAAGCAGCACTAAGTGGCCCTAAATGTTTGTTGAATGAGCACATCCGTGAAAGCCATGAGAACCCTGAAAGGTTGCCTGCACTGATGTTGATGGCCAGCAGACGGCAGCAAAGGGCAGCAGAGATGAGGGCAGAGGCCCTGGGGGAAGGGCCATTCCCTCCATGGGGATCACATGGCACTGAGGCAAGGATCCTATTGTCCATGTGAGTATCTGGGGACACTGAGGGCACGAAGACAAGAAAATTGCTGGCAGAAGTCCAACGAAGCCCAGCGTCA